AGTGTATCTGTACTTGCTGGTCTCATCTGGAGCACTGTGTCCAGTTCTGAACTCCCCAGTATGAGGAGGGCTTGGATGTACGGGAGCGAGTCCGGCGAAGGGCCTTGAAGATGATTAAGGGATTGGAGCGTCTGGCATATGTGGAGAGGCCGAGAGAGCTGGGACTGTTCAGCCTGGAGAAGAGAAGGCTCCAGGGAGATCTTATCAATGTGTACAAATACCTGGTGAGGAGGGGAGTAAAGCAAACGCAGCCAGAGTCTTCTCAGTGGTATCCAGTGACAGGATGAGAGGCAATGGACACAAATTGAAATATAAGAAATTCTGTGTAAGCGTAAGACAGAACTTGTGTGCTGTGTGTGATGTGGACTTTCCATCTTTGGAGATGCTCAAAACCTGACTGGATATAGCCCTGAGCAACCTGCTTGTAAGTGACGCTGCTTTGAGCAGGGAGGTTGGACTAAGTGACCTCCAGAGGTTCCTTCCAACCTCAACCATTTTGTGTTCTGTGATTTCCCCCACCCCTAGAGAATTAGATATTAGATCTCAAAGTGAAGATGCTAAAATTTACATAGATTAGTATGTTCACATTTAGGAAATTTGCAGAAATACCCTAGGACATCCATGCAGAAAAGTGAGTTTCGTTGAAAAATGCATGCAGTCAGCGCTCTGCGCCCTGCCAAGGCCATCTTTGTAAGCGTGCTGCTGGGCTGCTTGTTACATAGTTGCTTTTACTGTAGAAGGATACTAAGTGTAAATTTTTGAAACTGTGCTTACTCTTCATGGTATTTGCATGATTCATGCAGTCTGTGTTAGTAACAACTAAGGGGAGAAAATGTGCAACAGAATGAATGAGAAACACTTAACTGGTAACATTTTTTAACTGCTTCTTTCAGCCTATTCTGGAATATGATTTGAGGTCTTTGTCAGGGAAAATTTAGATGTGTGACTCCTAAAGATGGGAAAAATTGGTTGCTGCAGGGCTCAGCATTTGGAAGAGAACTTCCAGTGGCATGTACAGAAGTCCTCCATCTGTGCACAGTAAATCTGTATCCTCGTGGCAACAGTAATGTGAGAATAATTAGTAATGTGTTGTTCCCACCTTTTGCCAGGGTTTAAGTTTCTAGGAAATGTGTCCTTTAAAGTTGTGCAGCTGATTCAAAGGAGCTTGACAGTATTCTGAAAGGTAACATTGCCCAGTCACTTGCACAGAATACGAACATTAAATTTTCACTAGAGTAAATTATAGTAAAGCACTTCACTATAAGCTTAAGTCATTTACCTTTTACTAGAGGGAATGAGAAGGAATGATTATCTATTTCACAGGTTATCCTGCTTTGTGACAAGCAAGGAGTAGTTATGAAGACAGTGAGGAAGAGTTAGGGGGAAGCAGCACTGGGAGTGTGGAGTTTCTTTGGGGTTATTGAGAAGAGGAGAGTTATGATGAAAAGGATAGGGGAGGGCCCAGAGCACGGGTATTTAATAAGAAAGTAAGTGATTGGGTATGGGAGCCTGTTTCCCCATACTCAAGCTGGGATTTGGGGGAAATCTGCAGTCTGGGAATTGGGACAAACGTTTATGTGAGCCTGGAGCCTGGACTGGGAGCCTTGGCTGAGACTTGAGGCTTTTGTCAGGGTTTAATAAGGTCACAGGACTGGACTCGCTGTACAGTTCAGAATAGTACTGAATTGGGAAAGTGTGTAATCTTTTCGTTGCTTCTTATGAATGAGTATGCATACAGCAGCCAAAGCCACTAGTCAGAAGTTGTTTCTCAGATGCAGCAACATTGTAACGGAAGGGGGGGTTAGCTGGAAACAGCAAGGAACTATATGCAGCAAGGCAGGGGTGTAAGTAAAGGAGCCAAGCTGGTCTAATGCTCAAATTCCTGTAATCAGCATGGAATAGAACTGCAGAGCCTTCAGGTGTGGATTACATTTGTATTTTCTTTAATGTCTCTCTCAGACTTTTCATTGGTATTTTCTTCTCAGGAAATCTGCTCTTGTCTCTGTAATAGCGATCCCTCCAACAGCACCAGCTTTGCCTAACTTTTGTGAATGCACCATGAAGGCATGCAAATAATCCCTAAAAGCTGTTGTTGGCTTTAGGGATACAGTTCTTTCAGCATATACCTTAATTCTGTACTTCAGAGCTTTACTTCTGAAAACCACAAAGGGTTAATGCTATTTTCCCTGGCTTTCCAAGGGCTGAGTGATGTTGAGCACTGTGCTGGAACAGAGTGTAGTGACCCTAGCTTTGTATTTTCTCACTGAATGGAAAAGCAAGCTAGTAACTTATCAGAACTTTAGGAGACTACAGTATGTATAACCTCATTATTCACAGAATCACAGAATCATTTAGGTTGGAAGGGACCTCTGGAGATCATCTAGTCCAACCTCCCTGCTCAAGCAGGGCCCTCTAAAGCATATTGCCCAGGATCACATCCAGACAGGTTTTGAGTATCTCCAGGGAAGGAGACTCCACCACCTCTCTGGGCAACCTGTTCCAATGCTCTGTCACCCTCACAGTGAAGAAGTTTTTTCTCAGGTTCAGGTGGAACTTCCTGTGGTTCAGTTTCTGCCCGTTGCGTCTTGTCCTGTTGCTGGGCACCACGGAGAAGAGGCTGGCCTCATCCTCTTGACACTCCCCCTTCAGATACTTGTACACGTTTATGAGATCGCCTCTCAGTCTTCTCTTCTCCAGGCTGAACAGGATAATGTATAATGTGTAATACTATGCTTTGTACTAATATACTAAATGTATATAATACTAATGTATAATAATGTAACATGTATAATACTAAACCCCTGCCCTTTCACTGGATCTTGAATAATAACTGGAGTTTCCAGGGTTCAGTAGAAGTTTTTAAAATAATGTTTCATGTATTATAGTGTACATTCATTATTATACTTTCTTTTAAATACAGATTTAAAAAACGAATGCTGATAGAACAGCTTGAGAGTTTTCTGGAAGAAATCCATCGCAGATCCAATCAGGTCAACCATATCAACAGCAGCTAAGAAAGACTGCATATAAGAGAAAGCCACAGCAGGGCACTGCTGTCCTTACTTGCATTCATTTTTGACATGCACTCTTATCTCGAATCCCATATCTGAAAGAATGAAAAGCTGCTCTATAATATGACGAGAAAAGTATCCATCATCTTTTTTTCTTCACTTCTGTTATTTTTGTAATGTGAAAAATATCACTAGAACATTTTTATTTAACTAAATGGAGAATTTCTTGCTTGTCATTGACTTAAGTGTCACTTTCCCTCAGGTTCTATTTTCTTAATCCAACCTTCAAAACTATCACCTCTAAGGTTGAACTTTGCCAAAAAAGTTGCTTTGTAATTTTCAAAAAAAAAAATTAAAAAAAAAAAGCACATACATTAAACAAGGTAATGTTTTGTATATACAGTTATTTTGGATATATTATTGTAAGTTGTATAAATGTATTTTGAAAAATATTTAAGAAAAGCACTTTTGTTATTCCATCAATAAAAGCTCTATTTTAATCTTTGTGTAGGACTGAGTATGTTTTTTATTGGAATGGTTTGTTCTGCCTTCCCTTTTCAGAACATCAGTGTTCCAGTGCTGGTGTTAAGGGAAGAGGAGCAGTTTTTTATCACTGGAAATTCTGATCTTAATCTAAGAACTAGTGAAAAGAAGCTAATGCTGAATCATACCTAAAATAGGATGATAATCTATAGCCTTTTGTACTCTGTGCTTTGCTATTTGCTGAACAGCATGGCAAATTAATGGACTGCACACCGACCCGAAGCAATGACAAACATCAGTTTTATGAAAATACGATGTAGTAAAATAGGGCAGTAGCCTTTGAGGAATGGTGTATGGAATTTTTCTTTTCTGTATTAAAGTTTTTGCCGATTTACAAGTGCAGCAATAGCCAGAAGATGCTGCCTCTGGGACACAAAATATCACTGAATCCTTGATTGGTCATGTCTTTCATCTGTGTTAGATGCTCTTAAAATCTGGAAGCTTTGATTCAGTGGGAGCAGCACCCCTCTGCTTTTTTTAAAGGTTCAGTGGTTTGCAGTCTTTACTCAGAATTGTTACGGGCATGGGTTTGTGATGCTTGTGGCGGCACGAGTTGCTGACTCTCGTCCTAAAACACTCCCTCTATGCCAAATATTATTGGGATGCTTAAAAAAAAAGGCATTTTCTAGATGCTTTTAGCCTTATCCAGTGTTCCTCAGGAATGACCATTCTGCACACTGTTAGTTTTAAAAAATGTCCCTTATGTAAAATCGTTTTTTGGTAGTAATACTTGTTTTGTCACTGATTCAGTGGTATATCTGCTTCTTACCTGTTCTTCTGTCAGTTTTCAAACAGCCTCTCAAGTTGATCTCCTTTTCACAACATTTTGGGTTGCTTGCTGACTACCATGGTGCCTCAGTTTGATAATAGTTAAAGATAACTTTAAAGTTCGTTAAAGTTATCTTTAGAGATAAGAACCAGACTGAAAATTTTTTATGTCTTTGACTTCAGGAGAGGGGGAATAACGTTATGCTTGAAAAATAACATATATTGCAAAGCTTTCTTGTGGGACATTCTCTCAGATGAGCTGCATATTCAACAACGGTCCGACTGACTTTAGCTGGTCACCTGTTAGCACAAGGAAGAATTTAAGCAGAAGCAGTGGCCCACATGTAGGTAGCCTGCTTTTAGGTGGCAAAATCTGTTGAGGTTTTCCTTGGATGTTTATATGCTTACTATAGTAAGCTTACTATAAGTAAGCTTATATAAGTAAGCTTACTGTAGCTTACTTGTTGTAGTTGTGACTCTGATGCTTCAAATACAGCTACAAAATAAGTTTCCTGTAGTGTACACAAAGTAATAGGGTAGTGGGGGACTTAGTCTTATCTTCTTGCAAAACTGATGTTTTAAACATTGTTTCAATAAATGTACAGTGCAGTCTTTAATTTCATTGAAGGATAGCTCACCACAGGAGGAAGAGAAGACAGTATATTTGACTGGCATTTATTATGGAGGATTTGTAACTCTTCCTATAAAGAGTACAGAACCTGTAAATAAAAACAAATTATTAAAATTATTTGAATGTTTAGGACCAAGTTTTTAGAGTGTGTAATGCAGTTTAGATGCTTAATCATGGAGCTAGCAGATTTGTGATCCCTTCATTGCGTGCTTGCCTGTGACAATTTGAACATTTTATATTAAAAGAAAAAGTCCTTTGCCAAATAGTTGGTAGCCCAAACCAGAAACTTTCCCAAACAGGTGGTGAAAGAACTCCTTTTGAATGGAACAAAACAGGGCCTAAATTAATTTCTTTGTTTTGTTATTGAAGTTACAGTGGAGATTTTTACAACCCATCGAATGAAGCCACTGCCTCAGATTCACTGAGTTTGTGGTTATTTAAGTTGTTTTTGTTGCTGTTATTAGCTTGCCTGACTTTCAAAGGGGATGTGTTCAAAACTGAAGTTCTGCAGGAGGAGAGGGGGAAAAAAGCAAAAAAACTTTTTTTCAGTTATTTCAGGTAGAGCTATGTTGTTCTAAGCCTTGGAAAGTGCCTAGTATGTTTCTGCGGTTACTAGAAAACCAATGCATTGAAGATCGGGTTTCGTCCTATATCGAGATTCATTCTGCACTTTATGGGGTTAGCAAGTTTTAAGTACCTCTAATTAGGTGAATAAAATTCATTAAAACCAGGACGCGTTTACCCTTCCTTCTTTTCATATGTGAAGAACTTCATTCACTAGGTCTGAATAAACAAAACAACATTGAATGTTCTCAATTTTCACACTTTGCATTAAAAAAATTATAAAAGATACAGTTGTACTAATTTATTTTTAGTTGATTGCAAAGTATGTATTTTGTTTCATATAAATACTGTTTTGCGATCTGCATTCCTTCCTATTTATATCATTCATTATACACTGTAAACTAAGCAAATTAATTCACCAAAATCACTTTTCCTTCTTAATCCTGAAGGGTTTGTGGCTCAGCTTCCATAGATCACATTTTCTTTTTAATACCTTTTTAAAAATTTTGCACTTGCTAAGTAATAATGTTTTCTATTCACCGAACGGTAATAGTTATCCAAGTGTTTTTAAACAAAACCTCCACCAAGATAGTCCTTTTCTCTTTAAAAAGACATCTCTGTATTTTGGTCAAAACGGGACGTTCCTTCAAAAGCAGAATGTTACATATGCAACTATTCACTGACTAAGAGGACAAAATCGTGTAGCTTGAAAGATAAGGAAAATGATTTCTTTCAGTCTTGCAAAGCCCTAAAGAGTGTTTTACTGAACTCTATAAATGCGTATCTGTCTCCTTAAAATCTACACAGAAATGATGCTGATTTTGAGAGAAACCTGGTGATGTGAGGGATTTATAGAAAAATACATAAGATGCAAGTGCAGTGCATTTATAAGAACTAGGAGTTGTTGGAGGTGGCCTAGCATTTCAAAGGAGCGAATACACATAATGCAATTCTTGGCTATTAGTTTCAACAAGCTATATACTGCTTTCTTTGCCAGAGATTCTGGAGTAGCTTGTGACTGAAATGGCATATTAGCATAATACTGAGGCCAAGAGCACTGTGATCCTTCAGATTTTCAGGTCTGTTCTGTAGGCTTTTGGTTTTGGGGGCCAGAGGAGCTTGTTAGCAAGAAAGAGATTATTGCTTACAAAAGAAACATGCATTTCCTAGCAGTTCTTGTACAAGTGAAGGTACAAGTTCGGCTCTTTCCAGAGCAGTGGTCTCAGGTAAGGACTTTGCTAGTTACATACAGTATATACCCATTGCTTTTGATGACCTGAATGTCTCATGAAGATACTAAGCAGTGAAGAGTCCTGGAACATAAAACTATCCCCTCGAAAGTATTGATATCTAAGATATAGGTGGAAGAGAAACTTGTTTCTGTATATTTTGAGTTGTAGCTAAGTAAAAGGTTGTTAGCCTCCAGAATTTCTGAGATATCTCCCTAAAGACTGCTGAGGTAGGTATCAACATAGTGAATTTTAGGCCCGGGAATCCTGGTGCCTCCAAGTAGAAGCCTGGTTGCTGTGTGAAAGTGCAAGTTTCATGCATAAGGGAAGCTTCAGATTTTAACTTCTTCAAATGTTAATCCAGGTGATAACCAGTTTTTGTACCAAATTGCCTGTGAAGGCATGTCTCAAATCTTAGGGCATTTAAGATTTTCAGTAAGGTATTTATGGTGTCTACAATTAGGATGGAAATCTTTTTACGCACATACTACATATACACAGAAAACTGCTAATTTAACTTCCCTGAATTAAATCTTTACCATGCCTTCTTTCTTAAAAAAAATAAACTTTATTCCATGGATTATGCTTTAAAAACAAAGCCCTGAGCTGATGCTGAAATGTCCTAGACTAAAGAATGGCATGCTATTTAGGAGGACCTTTTTATTGATTTCACTGCTACTTGTGAATGATTCTGCTACTGAATTCAAAAGTATACATACCTGTATCAGCTTGTCTCAGGAAAAAAGTAAAAGGTCTGTCTGCTTTGAAAATAGGTGTTCGAGATCTTTTCAGTAATACCATTGCTGCAATACAATGAAGCAAATATTAGTAAAATGTATCCATTTTCATTCCATTTTTTGTACTGTGCTCCGATGTTTAGTGTTTTGAGTTACTACTGTATGTTAAGAGTATTAAAGAAAAAAAAAAGATTTTAACCAACAGCAAAATCATTGTAGGTGTCACGAGCAAGTCAAGTGTTGGGAGACTACATGTAGACAACACGTACTTAGCTGCTGAAGTGATTCCATCTGACTTTGGATCTCGAAGGTAATATACAGTGTCGTTGCTGTTTTTACAGACCAAATGTGCCAAAGTCATACCATGCTATTACCTACTTGCTTAATTAATTTCTAGGCGTGCTGTTCTGCTAAAACATAGTCCCATTTTGTAAATGGGAAACACACAGCTGAAAAAACCTAAGTGATCCTGGAATTCCTCTGTTAGAGCTCTCAACGAAACCTAAGTATCCTGAGTCTCGAACTGCTTTGTGATTATCCTTCCCCTCTCTGGTTATGGATTAATTACTGTATTACAACTATGTTCCTTCAGAATTGTGATGGCCCAGAAAGCAATTTTTGAAATGAAAGCCTTGTTTAAATAAAATTTCACAAATGGCACAATTATTCCGTTTAGCTTCCTTGTAGGTATGAAGTATTAACAATACATTCTTCCAAAAGCCAAATAGATTTGTATTGTTTTAATGAGCAGTTAGAACAATGGAATCCCATCTAAAATGCTGGTAAGGCTCAGTTAAACTAGTCTGAGTGGCACCGTTTCCGTGCTCTGAAAAGAAGTACCTGCTTTAGCATTTTCTCTGCATCAAGCCAGTGTTGTGACTAGATGCATAACTTTTACCATAAACAGTAAATATAGTTATACTTTGCTAAACCAGCTTCTTAGCTTGGTCTGACTGGACTTAATGGAAGTTCTAGCATTGGCTTAAGTGGGATAAAGATCTGATGTAGTCTACTGATTGCCGTTAGCCTTAGCCGTGGTATGTAACTGAAGCCACTCAAAAGCTTTTTCTTTTTTTTTTTGTATGGGACTTATCAGAAATATTACTAAAAATTTAATGCTCAATAAAAATGAGAATTAACATAAAACTTAGCATAAAAATCTTTAAGCAGCTTGAGGACGTGCTCAGGCTCTGATGCGAAGCAAGCGGCAAGGTGGCTACTTAATCAGCGTGGGGGTCCAGGCCTGCAGTCGCCCTTCGCAGCAGCTGTTCCCGCATGGGGCTGCAGCATCTCTGTAGCGTTCCAGGCTCCCAACAAGGAAGCAGAAACGCGAGGGCTTTTGGTAAAGCCCATGTGATTGAAAAACTGGCTATCCAGCTCAATATTTGTAGTTCCCCTGTTGTAAAATTTTAATTTAGGTAAGTTGTAAAGGAGGATTTCTGTTGAAATGTCATTCAACTAGGTCATTTGTTGAAACTATAGTCAATAATGGGGGTTTTACTCAGAATTTTCCCTCCCTCTCTAGCTTCTCGTGTGGAAATGCATCTGTTTCCAGAAATTACAGCACATAAGCATTGCTGCTCTAAGTATATAAAAAACGTAAACCTGTAACACCTCCGTGAAGATTATGCTTCTACATCCCGAACCTCAATACTACCAAGAAGTTCATCCTCAAAAAAAACGCCAAAACAAAAAACAAAAACCACCTTAGTGGTTAAAGAGCTATGGATAAAATGTGAGTAGTCTTTTTCAATTCCTTGTTTCTATGACCTGAGCAAACAAGATTTGACCAACAGGAAAAGTGGTGGTTTATTCTGTTAAACTGTATTTCTCCTGGGCTGGTAAAACCAGTTTTCACTCAGGCCTTTTTGTGGGTTGGTTTAAGATCAAATGTAAAAAAAGGGTTGAGTTTTAAGAATTCTTATGAGCAAATAAGCAGGTGAAGTGAAAGCATGTTAAATACAAATGTAAAAACGTAGATGTGATATGGCGAAGAAGGCAGATATATATTAAAATTTCAGAACAACTGGAGTGATCTACACAGTAGCACGCTTTGTTAAATAAAAGACTTTAGTAGTTGGTTTGGTAGTGAAATGTTTCGGAAGTGAAAAGTAAAGTCTGTATACTTGATCTACCTGTAGCTCCTGATGCCTTCGTACCATCTTCTGTTACTTCAATCTTTGCTTTGTGAATAGCTTCTGAAACATAAAGACTGCCTTGCTCTGACAAAAAAAAAAAAAGTGAATATTGACAATTGTCTGAATCTTATTGCTAACAGCTTTTCATTTTTAAAACTTTAGAATACTTTGAACTATTTTTTTTGTGCAGAAACCCAGGTTCAACTGTCAGACATTTCATCTGAACAACTAATTTAATAACTGAAACAAAATTGCTCTGAAGATTAACCAGACCAAAGGATTTCAACCCTTGTGCCCTTAGCTGGAGCAATAGGGATGAGTGCAGACACCCTTAAGCTATGAGCTACCTTGATATTAAGGGTTTTTTTCATCTTTTTTCATCAGAGGTGCAATGGACAGCAAGAGGAGAAACTAATTAACACGGGGGGACAATGAATGAATACTGGATCAAAGGACCACTGTGAGAGAAACGGCAAAAACGCTGCTGTTCAGGAAGAAGGGCTGGGACTGTGACATAAAATGGAGCTCTGAAAAAAGGGAATTTCAGGTATCGAGTGTCACAAGTCTATTTTTCCCCAGCTAACCGCAGAGGGTAGAAAGCAGGGACGGTTGTGAGGCTTTTCTTTTTTGTCTCAGTATATGTCCACCAAGTCTGAATTACACAGATGAAAAGAAGGAAACACTAAAAGAACATTTAATCTGTTTCTATCGGAATCTCGTTTAGCCAAAAATCAGTGATGGAAGCAAGAAAGACAAAACTGTTGGGAGAAGCAGAAATTTTTAATTAGATAAACTAACATATTTTGGGAAAAAAATAGAAGCTTTCAGACACAAAGAAGCTTTTCCAAGTCTGAAATAAAGCAACAAATTTCTGTAATGAATGTGAGCTGAGAGTAAATATTCTGAAAATTACAGTGCCTGCTTCATCCTGAAGGTGAATCTGAAAACTTGTCTATTTTTTTCTGACTGTATCTACTGGTTAAATAAAAACACAACCCTTTCTTATAAACTCTGCCTCATGTAATTCTTAGGCCACCGTGGCTATAACCCTACCATTGCAAAACGGAATTGTATCACGTAAGGACAGAACTGAAAAGGACCTCAGGATATCTTTTACTCCATAACCCTGCCATGAGCAGGATCAAATGCTTCTATAAACCTCACTCCGTACGACATAAAGCAAAATGCTACCAAGCTGCATGCATAGGAAAGAAGCTGCTGAAGCTGCTTTAAGGTTGCTAAAGTATGATGAAGTTCATCTCCTCAAAGCATTCATCTCAACAAGCACCTCCTTACAGTCTGTGTTTCATACTGCAATAAAAAACCCTACATTTGGGATATCCTCCCCCCCCACCCCCCCCAAAAAAAAAGTGCCATCTGAGGTTTGTCCCAGGAAAGCAACTTTCTAGTGAAAGCAAGGTCCTCTGAACTGGAGAAATCTCTTGTTTTACCTTCATTGTTTCACCCCCCCGCCCCCC